ATTGGTAGCAAATAGTGATTGTGTTAATTAAAAATTAACATATAGTACTTATTATTGTAAATTGTGGTGAGGGAAAACTTGTTTTGACGCAAGAGAAGATTTAATACCATGGTAATCCTTTTAGTAACAAAAGAGCTGAGATAATTAAATAATTTATATTATTTATTACCTTATATAAGTTATTTTCAAGTTGTTCTTATATGATTTGTTATGTATATAATGAGTAGAGTATTGATTTGTGAAATGTTATGTCTTTTAAAAGTGGTAATATTCATTATGTTTGTTTGGAAAGTGGTTATGCAAGGTCAAGTAGAGAAATACAGTGAAATGTGGCATGTTAGAGAGTGGGACGTTACCCTAATGGAATTAGTGGAGATTAAGTTTATATGACACTACTGGCACCTTGGGATGCCAAGTGCAGCTCATATTTCTCTTAATGCCAGAAAAAGGATATAGTGTTGAAGACTTACTCTTCTCTGTACCTAGAAGGGTGTGGAGTTAGAGACTATACTCTTTAGCATCGATAGAATGCAGTGTTGGAGTAACGACATCCCAAATACTTGTAATAGGGGAAACCTATAGTCCAAAGGCGGTTTAGGACACATTGGTCAAGTAATCCTACCATGAATGGTAAGCTTGGGGACCATACATGTGATTTGATTCCATGAAATAGCCTACCAATTTGGTTGGGAATATTGGAGGATCGAATGATTAGCGATCATGCATTTTTGTTACAGTGAATCGTATATGGTATGATTGTTATGCAAATCTTAAAGCTTGTTTATAACTTGACATGTCAATCAATATTATAGATTATCTTAGTTATTGAGATTTTTATCTTATCCTATTATTATTATTTTACAGGTTCTACCGCTGAGTTAGAGTAAGGGAAGAAATTGGGCAAGGATTAGTAGATTTGCTATATTACAAACAGTAATGCCAAATTTTATTTGAGTGGTGTACATAAATTTAGTGATATAATATTATATGTTGCCAACTAAGAATGCATATCATTTTGATTAGTTGTACTTATATTATACTATATTATTTTGCATTTTAGCCTAATGTTTTATATGATGTGAATATGTGGTGATTTTTGTGGTGAAGGGTTAAAATATTAGTATAAGTATAAGAAATGTTGTATACATATAGTGATAATGTATATATGGTATATTATATGGCAATAGAGGCTGAACAGTGTCTGTAATAATGATTTTGTGTTTTTACCCATATTGGGTGAAACCAACATTAAATGGCCAAATTTTGTGTTTGATATGATTTTGTGTGTTTAAACACTCAATCAAGTGTATATTGATCCATTAGACTTGGTTCAAGCTTCAAATGAGGTAATAGCATAAGTTTTGAATTTTGGGTACTTGGATGCTTGAAAATCATTTTAAAAAATTGACTTTTGCATCTGAGCGTCTAAAATTCTTATACTATGTCAGATCATAATGAAACTTCTACTATTAGTTAGCTTATTGAATAAGCTTCGTGTTGACACTTAAATCACTTAAATCGAACATCAAATGTGAAAATAGTACGTATTTAAAATTCATCCTAAAAAGCTATCAGGATACATTTTACTATCATGACAGGGACATGTGTATTGTGGCATGCTGCGCACAAGTTGCAATGTGTGGCATAAAGGCTGAATTGACCTTTCTGTGTCACATGTCGTAGTGCATGGACCATGAGTCGTGGCTCATGTGCCAAAATGCAAAAAAAAAAAAAATTTAGCCCTGTTTTTAAGTGTCTTGCTTCCCAAACTTTTTTATGCATCCCATATCTTTATAAATTATTAAATTTGAGCTCAAACCACCTATTTGAAGGGTTTTCTTAGGATTCCAAGTATTTCAAATTATTTTTTAAAATATTTATTAGCTTTAACCCTTCTATATTTACTATGAGCTCAATAGTAATTATTGCTCCTAATTATTATTATTTGTTATGATTGTGTGGTGAATATTAATAATGTCAAAGGGGACATTACATTGAAACTGTTGTTAATCTTAGTTGAAAAAACTAGGATCCCGTGTATTATGGGTTGAGATTATTGTTAATCTTAATTTCAAATTTAAATATTGGTTTTCCCAACTAAAATTACAATTATTCAAATCCACAATCATAGTTTTAGTATTGTTTTTTTTTCTTTATTTTTCAACTGAGACTCAATTAGCTATTTTCCACATTTACTCAAGGACAATTTTATATACTTACATATATTTTTAATCCTAAGAGAAGCTATAGTTTATTATTAAAATTTTAACAATTTAAGTCTTTAATTGTAACTAATGTTCTTTATAGATTCTTAATTGTCATTTTTTTCGAATATCCATGTTGGTCCTTTGATGTGGCTGTCAGCAAAACCACAAAAAGAGGGAGGGGGGACAACAAACCACCGACAGAATTCGAAATCTTAAAAAATCCCGGTAATATCATGTGTGACAGGAGGAGCTTGTCCCAGGTGCAAATTATTTTGGAATAATGGAAACAATAAAAAGTCCTAAGAAAAACTTCAAAAACAATATCTACAAGTGAAAATTCCAAAAGAAATAATTATAGCTAACTACTATACTTCCCGTCCAAAATCCAAATTGTAAGACTTCTAAGTTTCAATTATATTTAACATACTAATAAAAATAATTGTTTTTCGTACTTTAATAAAAAAATGCATATTGTTCTTAGCTCCTTTATATTTCTCATACCTTCATTAATCAATATAAGGATAAATTAAAAAATGATTTTAAAAAGTATTAAATATCCTATATTTTAAATTAAATTAATTGATACTCCATTCCTTAAAAAAAATAAAAGGTATTTTTTAAAGGGTTGGATATTAAAAAATATAAGACATTTGTAGCTTTTTAAAGTATAATTATTGCCTTTTTTCTCAAAAATACCTTTATTAAATAAATTATTTTATATTTATTTTAGAGTGAAACACTCTATTAAAGAGGATGAATTTAAAAAGATATAGTTAATTTGAATATAAGTAATTACTTATTAAGATAAGATTAAAGTAAAACTATCTTATATTTTTAAACGGAGTGAATGAACATGTCTTATTAGTTGAATGAAATGAGTATTATATAGCACTTTTAAATTAACTTTGGTGAGTCTTAATTAATCCTCGTGATAGTCAACTTACACACGTGTAATGCATTGATTTTTCCTAACAAATTGAACTGGGTGAAAACACCCTCCATGTAATGCATTGATTTTTCCTAACAAATTATCTCCAATTATGTATGGTATGATATTAAATGAACGAACACTCAATGGACCACATAATTGGAGAGATGGATTCATTTACTTCTCCATGTAAATGTAATAAGTCCATTTTTATAATAGGTTCTATTTCAAAATATTTGCTATTTAAAATTAATATTGTGAACATAACTTTAAAAGCCTATTAAACCTAAATTATAATAAAATTTAGATTAAAGTATACATTTAGTCTTTTAACTTTATAAAATGTCTCACTTTAGTTCCTTAACTTTATAAAGTATTTTTTTATTCTTTTCACCCTAACATTGTTAGTTTTATCCCAACAAATTTTTATATTGAATTTTTAAATATTGACAAAACATTCTAAAATGTTAGCATAATAAGTTTAATTTTTTAAAAATAATAATGATTGATACAAAAAATAATCATTTAAAACTAATAATGTTAGGGTTAAAGGATTAAACAAATACTTTACAAAATTAAAGAATTAAATTAAAATCTTATATAAAGTTTGAGGGCTAAAAGTATATTTTAGCTTAAAATTTGATATATTTTTGTGGGAAAATAGTAATGAATGATTGTTGGAGGAAATTTATATCAGTTAAAGACTAATTGTTGTCAAGATTTGAATGGCAAAAAGGTTGAATGACCTGCTGTTAATTTAAAATAAATTATTATTAAAACTTGAATGAATACTTTTTGATAAAAGACTAACATGATTTGACAAGTATCCATCAAGTTTTGGTAACAAGTAATCATTGATTGATATAAATTTTCTCCAGCAGTCCTTGATTGATATTTTCCCTATTTTTATTGTGTTATCATTATTTAATTAAAATATCACTTAACCTTATAATTATTAAGGAGAAATTATACTAACATAATTTATTAAAATTTTAAAATATAAATATTAAAAAAAAACAAATCTATGAAAAATTGTATAGAAAATGAGAAAGTATTAATGAGCGTGAATAACATTCTGGTTTATGAACTTCTAAAATGAACAAAAATTTCCATCAACCTCTAAATTTCAAGCATCTGAAGTCTCACCATTAAGTTGAAGAAAATGACTATTATTTTTATAGTTGTAAAGTTTAATCATAATCTAATGTAACATTTATCTTGATTTTTAAAAATAATGGCTATTTATTCTAACTTAATGGAGGGTTTCAGGCGCTCGGAAGTTAAAAGTCATGAAATTTTTTTGCATATTTTAAGAATTCATGATCCAAAATGTTATTTGCAAAATAATTTTAGATGTATAATGCTTATTAATCCAATGAAAAAATATACAGTTTATTATTTAACAACAAATAAAAAATGTCAAACATGACAAATGAATAAGTTATTTCCTCACAACATAATATATGAATCCTTAACAGGAGATATATTTATATTTAATGCTTGACTATATTTTAAATAAAATTATTTCTAAATATATATGCACGCACAAGCAATAAGAAAAATACATCGCATTTTGAGGGGAGGATTAATTAAATTTTTGTTTGAGATAAAAAAGCATTTGAAATTTTAATAAATGACCAAAATTCCTTGAGTTATAAGACTTCCAACGAAAAACCCAAGTAATGCCAGCTCCACAACTGCCTTTTCTAAATTTGACACTGACAGTCTCCGTGACAATTTAACTTCCATTATCCAAAGTTTTATTTATAACAATAGGGAGTCGGCAACAAAACTTAGTTTGGTGTCATCAGAGCACAAATAAAGATTTTCATATGAATATACCTATATGGTATTTAACAGCGAAATTAAAAGAACTGACAATTTTATAGCTTCGCTCCATTCAAATCATTATTCAATTGAACGAGATGCATGTTGAAGTGAAAATTTGGGACATAAGTGATCTATAATTCTATATATCATCGAAGCAGCTCAACAAAGCTGTGAAGAAGATCAGAACTTGTTAATGAAGTCATAAATGTGGCTGCTAACTTCCTCTGCAGCTTCTTGGTTGTTGAAGTGACCAACATTTTTTTGCACAATCACTTGCTCCAAATTTGGCACAAGTTCCTTAAAGCCACCACCATGAATGTAATCCTGAAGCCCCATTGAAGTGTATACCATGTCTAACTCACCCGTTATGAACTTCACTGGTACTTTTACTCGCACGTCGCTCCAGGGTGCTGTCAGCTCCCAATTTCTGCAAGGCAAACCAAAATAACAAGCCATCATTCTTTTGTTTTCACAAGAAATTACCCGTTAATTCAGAAGTTGAGAAATTAAATTAGTCCATGAGGAATTGAAAAGGAGAAACACACAGGTTGATATTTCTGTAGTAGTTCAAGCCTCCTGTGAAGCCAGTCTTTTCGAATTTAGAAACATAATAAGCAAGATCTTGTTGAGAGAGCCAGGACGGCAAGTTCTGCGGAGTATTAGGATTGAATCCGACTCCATACTCTCCTTTTGGGAAGATTGGGGGTCCCGGTTTGCGAGTGGTGAGGATGTTCTTCAACACATGCTCAGTTCCAACTTCAGCCATCTCTGCTTCCATCTTGCCCGGCTCCTATCAAACATCACAGACATATCTCTCTATTTCAAACCAGTAGCGTCAATAATCATATATCAAACACTCATTGCACCTCAGAATCATCAATTAGTGGCAATTTCAAACATAGAATATACGCACTCACAATCCATTTAATCAACAGGTAAATCTTATTATTTTCAGTGATCTGGATTCTAGCCAGTTTGCAGTCGCTCTGGTGAAGGAAAATATACTCCCAGATGGATCTAGTAAAAATATTACACGGATGGATGAAAGAAACAAAAAAGAACCTGGAATCGGCAGATGTAGTAGTCGTCTCCATATAAGGCACGTAAGCCGTCTAGGGTCTTCACTCGAGGATCTCTACGAATAAAGGGGACACTGAGGCAGACATAAGCCTTGACTCGGTCGGGACGAAGCAAGCAGAGATTCCAGCCGATGAGAGCTCCCCAATCATGGGCCACAAGAAAGACATTGTCCACAGCCATAGAGTCGAGAAGGGCAATAAGGTCACCCACCACGTGAAAGCTGGTGTAGGCGGAGATTGAAACAGGGGCGCCGGTGTCGCCGTAGCCACGGAGGTCAGGGGCGACGGCGCGATAGCCTCGGGAGCTGAGGGAGAGTATCTGGTGGCGCCAAGAGTACCGCAGCCCGGGGAAGCCATGGAGGAACAACACGACGGGACCTTCTCCTTTCTCAGCAACGTGCATTTTAATGCCATTCGCTTCCACAATTAAGGGTTGTATTCCCTCCATCTTCCTTAATTTCTGTGTGATGTGCAAATAATTATCTGATACTTGAATTGGTCTTCTCCGTTGCGTGATGTCTTGTTTATATTGAAAGAAGTGAAATTAGAAGAAGAATGGGGCAGGGTTTGAACCTTGAAGGAGTTACTTTGTTCGTTCCTTCAGCAAATCATAGAGATACTTTTTGAGTGGAATATATGATCCAGTTTTCATTTAGCCAAAAATGAAAAAGTCCTCCCCATAAAACAATAGTGTCTCTTTTACTTATAGTTAGAATAAAAAACCTAACTAGTGGAAAAAGGAATGAAAAGAAATTAACCTAAATAATAATAATAAAACGTTAGGCAGAGGCTTTACTAAATATTAGGCATTAAACCCATTTATCACATAGAACAAACCACATCACAGATTCAAGTACCAAAAGCTTGATTAGATCCTACTTAAAGCTAAACTAACAATGGACAAGGGCAACAGCAAAAAGCAGTCAAATTTCAAAACATAATTTGCAATTCCATGTTCAAATGTGTAAATTACTAGATCAAATAGAGATATGTATATATATATATATATATATATAGATAGAACAAAAATAATCAATTTGAAGAGCAACAATACAATGACCATCCTACTCTTTAAATATCATTCCCAAAAATTTACCAATCATTAACGTTAAAATTTGATACGCTTTCCAAATTTACTTCTTTATAAAAAGCATTAAATCCTAAAAGAAAAACATCTAAATCAATTTCCTTCCTTTGGTAACCAAATAGCTTAAGACATTGTTACTTAACTAGAGTGAATTTCCAAGCTTTCAATTTAAGTTTGTTTGAGAAGTAATCCCTCCTTCACATGCACAACAGATTCAGAAGAAAATAAACAGAAATTCCAGCAGCAACCCAGATTCACAAATCTCACTCAAAACTGACGCAAGGAAGAGAAGATAAGGCTTAAACATACAACTAAATCCCCCCAATCTGTCATGCTTCCATTAAACGAAGTTTCAGAAAATAAAACCTCAAGCAAAACTGATCTAACAAAGCTGTAATTAAAATGAAACGTCCACTTTCAGTCACCAAAACATCCCGCATATGTGAAAGAAGAGAAAGAATAACACTTCTACAAACCTATACCAGTATCGGCGACTGACTACGGCAGATAGCAAGACCAAGGAAAGGCGAACAGTGTTGTATGTGTGTCAAAAGTGTGTGTGTGTCAAAGTCCCACATTGACTAAAGGAAGGAATCTCCTAGTGTATATATACTAAGGAATGAAGTGGGCTAGTAAAATGGGTTTGGAGGAGAAGTGGCCTCGTGCACATGAGACAGGCCAACTCAGGGCAATCGTAATTGAAATCAGCTGATTCACCCCCTTGCGCGTGAGTTCAAGAGGCACTGGGTTCCTTTTACCGGGTTATTTTTACAAAAAATGGTTAAATAAATAATTATTTTTGCTTACCCGAAAAAACCTCTGATTTAGCTGTTTTCAAGTTGAACTTGAGGCATTGGCAGTTTTCTAGAAACTGAATTCTGTGCGTTAATGTTTTGTCTGCCTAACGTCTCTAGATTGAACGCAGAACGTTTTTGGATTAATGGACGTGCACGTTTCTGCTGTTTAAGGCGTGTAACTGAAGCATTAATCCATGAACGTTCGTTGTTTAATGTGTGTATAACTGAAGCATTAACCGATAATTATAACCCAACATTTGTGTCTCATTCCTAGCCTATAAATAGACATGGGTGCGGACAGAACAGATAGCAAGCGTTCTCGTCCTCTCCTCCATCTGATCTTCTGTTGTCTGTTCTCATTTATAGTCTCCGCTGTTCTGTTCCCTTGCTCCACCGCAGGAAGTGCTCGTTTAATCCTGGGGGACTGTCGGTCCATCGTCTAGGTGTATCGAAATAGTTCTTAAGGACAGTGTTCTTCCGGACACGACTCGAGCAACCAGTAGCTCGCTGTTCGCCTCTGCATTGCTGTTTTCCAACAATCTTAAGAACTATTCAACCCAATGGCGACCGACGGTGCTGAGAATGTCACTCCCAAAGGTATGCCCAATGGTTCGACTGGAGGTCAATTCGTCCCTGCTGCTGTTGCCGTTCCCCTACCAAGGCCGTTCCTTGACATATCAAAGATAGAAGTCTTTGATGGCCGGAACTTCAAACGCTGGCAGGAACGTGTCTTCATTATTCTTGACATGCATGGTGTGGCCACTGCTCTTGCTCAATCCGAGCCTCCTGCTGATACTGATCAAGCCCAAAGAGTTGCATGGACTCATGCAAACAAGGTATGTCGACACACTATCATTAGCACTTTATCTAATGATTTGTTCGATGTCTACTGTGTCTACAAGGAAGCTTGTAAGATATGGGAGTCCCTGGTGACAAAGTACACTACTGAGGATGCCGGCAAACAAAAATTCGTTGTGGGCAACTACTACAAATGGGAGATGACCGAGAACAAGGATGTCAAGGAGCAAATCAACGAATATCATAAGCTGCTGGAGGAGCTTCGTGCTGAAAACATCAACCTTCCAGATGAGTTTGTTGCTGGGATACTGATTGAGAAGCTGCCAGAATCATGGTCTGACTACAAACAGCAGTTGAAACACAAACAGAAGCAGCTGTCCTTGACTGACTTGATCACTCACATCATCATCGAAGATACCAACCGCAAGGCAATACGTGCAGCTCGAACCAGAGAAATGACATCCAAAGCCAACCTGGTGGAGACAAAGCCTCACAACAAGAGGTATGATTCTAAAACTAAAGACAAGAAGAATAGAAAAACTGATTACAAACCCAATGCTTCTAACCCCTCTTTCAAAAAGAAAGGAGACTGTTTTGTCTGTGGTAAACCAGGACACTATGCAGCACAGTGTAGGAAGAGAGCAAACCGTGATAAGCCTCAGAAGCCAAATGTAAATTTGGTACAACGAGATGGTGACAGTGATGATGACATCATTGCTGCAGTGGTGTCACAAGCTCTCTTGATTTTTGATGTGAAGAAATGGGTGGTAGACTCCGGGGCTACCAGGCACATATGTGCAAGCCAAGAGATGTTTACCACCTATAATCCTGTAAAGGAAGGGAAAGACCATGTTTACCTTGCTGATTCCCGAACTGCTAAAGTTCAAGGAAAAGGGAAGGTGGTCTTAAAGCTCACATCAGGAAAGACTCTGGCTCTGAATGATGTTCTGCATGTGCCTGAAGTTAGAGCTAACTTAGTGTCAGTTGCTCTTTTAGGGAAAGCTGGGGTTAAAGTGTCATTTGAATTTGACAAGATTGTAATGACAAAAAATAATGTGTTTGTAGGCAAAGGGTATTGTAATCAGGGACTGTTTGTTCTAAATGTTGATGAAATGAATAAGACTGAATCTTCTGAGTATATGCCTGTTTATATGGTTGATTCCTTTGATCTGTGGCATGCTAGACTAGGTCACGCTAGTAAAGGTTATATAAATAGGATGCGACAACTTGGACTACTTTCTGAAATTAAAAACAATGATTTTGGAAAATGTGAAGTATGTGCAGAAACTAAACAAAGTAAAAAACCTCATTTTTCTAGTCAAAGAGAATCTGAATTACTATCTTTAATTCACACAGATTTAGGTGACTTAAAACAAATCATGACTACAGGTGGTAAAAAATATTATATCACTTTTATTGATAATTTTTCAAGATATACTAAAGTATACTTGTTAAGAAACAAAGATGAGGCTTTTGAAAAATTTCTGTTATATAAAGCAGAGGTTGAGAATCAGTTAAATAAAAGAATTAAAAGGGTTAGATCAGATAGAGGAGGAGAATATGTTTTTTTAAATGATTTTTGTGAAAAAGAAGGAATTATACATGAGGTAACACCTCTTATTCTCCCGAGTCTAATGGTGTTGCAGAAAGAAAAAATAGAACATTAAAAGAAATGATGAATGCTTTGCTTGTGAGTTTTTCTGCCCCTGATAACTTGTGGGGTGAAGCTATTTTGTCTGCATGTTTTTTACAAAATAGGATACCTCATAAGAAATCAAAGAAAACACCTTATGAGTTATGAAAGGGTTTACCCCAAACTTAAAATATTTGAAAGTGTGGGGGTGTCTTGCAAAAGTTTTATTGCCTGATCCTAAAAAGAGGAAAATTGGCTCTAAAACTTCTGATTGTATGTTTATTGGGTATGCTGAACAAAGTGCAGCATATCGTTTTTTAGTTTTAAAAAGTGATGTTTTAGACCAAAATACAATTATAGAGACTAAGGATGTTGAATTCTTTGAACATATTTTTCCTTTGAAAATTAAGCATGTTTCTAAACCTGTTGAGAATTTAGAGTTTGAACAAAATTTTAATGAGGATTTGGTTTTAAGGAGAAGTAAAAGGCAAAGGAAAGAAACAAGTTTTGGAGATGACTTTTACACTTATCTAGTACAAGATGAACCGTTAAATTTTTATGAAGCTATTTCTTCTCCTAATGCCAAATTTTGGAAAGAAGCAATTGAAATTGAAATTGATTCTTTAAGGAAAAATAAAACTTGGGTTTTATCAGATTTGCCCCAAGGAGCTAAGGCTATTGGGTGTAAATGGATTTTTAAGAAAAAATATTTTCCAGACGGTTCAATTGATAAGTATAAAGCAAGGCTTGTGGCCAAAGGTTTTACTCAAAAAGAAAATATAGATTATTTTGACACTTTTTCTCCTGTGACTAGAATCTCTTCTATAAGAATTCTTATTGCTTTGGCTTCAATTTACAAACTTTTTGTTCACTAAATGGATGTTAAAATAGCTTTTTTAAATGGTGATTTAGAAGAAGAAATTTACATGGTACAGCCTGAGGCATGTGTGATTCCTGGGCAAGAAAATAAAGTTTGTAAACTTGTAAAGTCTTTGTATGGCTTAAAACAAGCGCCTAAGCAATGGCATGAGAAACCTGATCAAGTTTTAACAACTGGTGGATTTTCTACTGTTGAAGTAGAAAGATGTGTTTATACAAAGTTTGTGAATAATGAATGTGTGATTATATGCTTGTATGTGGATGATATGCTGATTTTTGGCTCTAGTATGTGTGTTGTTAATGAAACAAAAAATTTTCTTTCTTCAAATTTTGATATGAAAGATATGGGTGAAGCCAAGGTAATCTTGGGTGTAAAAATCATAAGGAATGAAAATGGAATCTTGCTTTCCCGAGAACATTATGTTGAGAAAATTCTCAGAAAGTTTGGACATCTTGAAGTTGCTCCTTTGAGTACTCCTTATGATTCGAGTGTGCAATTAAAAAAGCACAAGGGTGACCCAGTTGCTCAATCTGAGTATGCACAAATTATTGGGAGTCTGTTGCATTTGATGAACTTTACTAGGCCTGATATAGCTTATGCTGTAGGCAGATTGAGTAGATATACTCACTGTCCAGGCAGCAAACACTGGGAGGCTCTGGTGAGAGTCTTGAGATATTTGAGAGGTACCATGAATTATGGTATATTGTATGGTGGATTTCCCGCTGTATTGGAAGGATACAGTGATGCTAATTGGATTTCAGATTCAAAAGAGACAAAATCCACTAGTGGTTATATATTCACACTTGGTGGTGGTGCAATAACCTGGAAGTCAGCAAAACAAACAATCAACACAAAATCCTCAAGGGATTCTGAGTTCATTGCCATGGAGTTGGCTGGGACTGAGGCTGAGTGGTTGAAAAACTTCTTAGCAAGTATTCCAATAGGTGAAAAGCCCACACCATCAGTGTCTTTACATTGTGATAGCCAGTCTGCAATAGCAACGGCTAAAAATAAGACCTTCAATGGCAAAAGTAGACATATTCGATTGAGACATAATATTATAAGGCAGCTGCTCAAAGACGGGGTCATCTCAATTGATTATGTGAATCAGAGTTAAATCTGGCGGATCCGTTAACTAAACCCCTAGGGAAGAAATTTATTATTGAAACGTCGAGGGGAATGGGACTTAAGCCTGTTTGAAATTAACGGTGATGGCAACCCAACCTTTGTGATTGGAGATCCCATGAAGAAGGTTCAATGGGTAAGAACAAGTCACTTGTTAGTTCTGCTAGCACTGAACTTGTCCCTTCCTATGACTTGAGAAAGTGCTAGAATGCATTGAACGGAGGCTGAGCGAAAGCTCTTAATGTTTTCATAGTCCTTACGGATGGTGTATTCATTGCAGATACACTTGATGAAAACACCT